GATTCTCCAGTCATAGTTTGAGTATACATATTTGAAACAGCTTCATATGCTCAAGGACTAATAAAATGTCTAGAATATTTTTCTTCTTGGAGATCATCAGTGAATTTCCATTCAGATTTGAAATAGTATTGTAATGCAGGGTAAGACTGGGAAGAATCAGACCCATCTTAGAATCTCACTTTCTTTTCTTACTGCCTAGATAGCCCTGGAGAAATCAGCTCTCAGAGTCTCAGTATCCAACTGTGTCATTATGAGGCGTTAATAAGATAGTTTATGAGAAGCACTTATGTCAGGCATGTGTGTGTGTGTGTGTGTGTGCGCACGTGCACGCTCAGTTGTATCCGACTCTTTGTGACCCCATGGACTGTAGCCCATCAGGCTTCTCTGTCCATGGAATTTTCCAGGTAAGAATACTGGAGTGGGTTTCCATTTTCTGCTCCAGGGGATCTTTCTGACACAGGGATCGAACTTGCATCTCTTGTGTCTCCCACACTGGCAGGCAGATTCTTTACCTTTGAGACACCTGGGAGCCCATCAGACACAGAATACTTCTCAAAACATATTAGATCTCTTTCCTGTATTAGTTGTGAAGAACCATCCAAGGAACACTGTGAGGGTTTTATACCAAGAAGCAATAGAAACTCACTCACCCTACCAAAATGCCTATGCAGTTCCTTCCCTCTGCACAACCTGAGCAGAAGAAGTATAATAAGATATCGACAAATGAGTTGCCTTGTGGAGTGAAGAACTTGTATTACCTTATTGCTTAGCTAGCTGAGTTTTGCTTCAGTTCTAGAAGCAACACAAGAGGTAACCAAGATGGCAGAATAGAAGGACATGTGCTCATTTTCTCCTGTGAGAACTCCAAAATTGCAACTCGTTGCTGAACAACCATCAGTAGGAGAATGTTGGATCCCACCAAATAAAGGAAATCCACATCCAAGTGCACAGAAGTCCCAGCAATATGGTAGGAGGGGCGAAATCACATTTAGAATCAAACCCCATACCTGCCAGAGACGCTTGGAGGGCTCAAACAGAACATTGTGTACACCAGGACCCACGGAGCATGTGGCAAAAACCCTCTTGGAGGAGGTCACCATTAGCCCCACCAGAGAGCTGCCAAGCAGATGACCCACAAATGCAGAACAATTATACCAAAGAAATTCTTGCACTGTTAAGAAAATTCTAGGACTCAAGATCATTGCACCTGGTCCCATCATTTCATGGCAAATAGATGGGAAAACAATGGAAACAGTGACAGATTTTATTTTCTTGGGCTCCAAAATTACTGAAGATGGTGACTGCAGCCATGAAATTAAAAGACACTTGCTCCTTGGAAGAAAAGCTATGACAAACCTAGAGAGCATATTAAAAAGCAGAGCCATTACTTTGCTGGCAAAGGTTCATCTAGTCAAAGCTATGGTTTTTCCAGTAGTCATGGATGGATGTGAGAGTTGGGCCATAAAGAAAGTTGAGTGCTGAAGAATTGACGCTTTTGAACTGTGTTGTTGGAGAAGATTCTTGAGAGTCCCTTAAACTGCAAGGAGATCAAATCAGTCAATCCTAAAGGAAATCAGTACTGAATATTCATTGGAAGAACTGATGCTGAAGCTCCAATACTTTGGCCAGCTAATGCAAAGAACTGACTCATTGGAAAAGACCCCGATGCTGGGAAAGACTGAAGGCAGGAGGAGAAGGAGATGACGGAGGATGAGATGGTTGGATGGCATCACCAGTTCTATGGACATGAGTTCAAGGAAGCTCTGGTAGTTGATGATGGACAGGAAAGCCTGGCATGCTGCAGTCCATGGTGTTGCAAAAGTGTTGACACTACTGAGCAACTAAACTGAACTGAACTGAACTAGGAGTAACACACATACGATTGCTTGTAAATAGGGACTGCTATTGCTTTCTAAACTGAAGAGTTTTGCCTTTTCTCGAAGGAAAGAAAGTGAAACAGTTAGTCACTCATTTGTGTCTGACTCTTTGTGACCCCACAGACTGTGGCCCACCAGCTTCCTCTGTCCAATAGAGTTCTCCAGGCAAGAATACTGGAGTGGGTGGCCCTTTCCTTCTCTAGGGGATCAAACTTGCGTCTCCTACATTACAGGAGAGTTCTTTACCATCTGAGCTACCAGGGGGAAGTGCAGGGACCCATCTTATCCTTAGTCTCTTAAGCATATGGCACAGTAAGTTCCATATGTACCTTCACTCACAGGTACTTAGTGAGGAGTACACAACTATAGAACTGGGTTCCTACTTCACAGGTGGGCAAGGAACAGATCGTACCACTTTCTTCACGTGTTATTCATGATGGTTCAAATCATCATGCTCTTTTGGGGATTTTTCTATTCTACCCTTGTAGCTATTCTCACAGTGAAAAATGTAGAGCTGACATGATGACAGCTGTGATGTCAAGTCTTACTGTGCTTCTATGATCCCAGAGAAGAGAATCCTCGGAGTGGGAGGGACTAGCAGCTGCCCTCCAGGAGTCGAAGGGCTGTCAGATGGGAGAAGGATTGCTTCTGCTCTGGATTCCAAAAGGCAGAATGAGAGTTGAGGGGTGCCAATTATAGGCAGATATGGTCAGACTTAAGCTACTGAAACTAACCAGTTCTGCAATGCCTCAAGCGTGGTGAAGGCTCCTCTGCTGAGATGTTGATCCACATACTTGTGTAAACTATTCTTCAGGAATATTAGAACAGGAATTGCAGCTCTCCCTTCTTCTTAATTTATAGAAATAATCCCAGGTATCAATTCATGGTGAGGGATTTGATCCAACTGAACTTGGAAGAAACTCCTTTGCTAGTTTTTAGGCATCTGTAGAGTGTTAGCTTCAGGGGTTTTCAAACTTTGCTACAGATTAGAATTACCTTGCAAACTTTGAAAAATCAGGATGACCAGGCCACATCTGCAGAGATTCAAATTAATTGGTGTGGGTTACAGTCTGAGTATTCGGGTTTGTCCAAAACTACCTCAGTGGTTCTAATACATAGTGATTTTGAGAATCACTGAGCTACTTAGAGAGTATTTCTCTGGATTTTAGCTTGGAATCTGATTTCACTAGAGGTGTAACTTTTCAAGTTTCTCGTGGTTCTATATTCCTCATTTACTAAAAGCAGGTGGGGGTGAGGGTGGGATATGTACTTCCAAATCATCTTCTCCTAAAATTTTATCATTCTTGAGCCCTTATAGGTTTAAGAATTTTTAAAAAAGATATTATTTATTTTATTTCTTGGCTGTGGTGGGTTTTTGTTTCTGCACATAGAAAGTGAAGTTGCTCAGTCGTGTCCGACACTTTGCGACCCCATGGACTGAAGCCTACCAGGCTCCTCCTTCCATGGGATTTTCCAGGCAAGACTACTGGAGTGGGTTGCCATCTCCTTCTCCAGGGGACCTTCCCAACCCAGGGATCGGATCGAAGCCAGGTCCCTGCATTGTAGGGAGACGCTTTGACCGTCTGAGCCACCTTTCTCTAGTTGAGGAAAAGGGGGGCTACTCTCTAGCTGTGGTTTGTGGGCTCCAGACAGCAGCCTCAGTAATTGTGGCACTTAGGCTTGGTTGCTCTGGGGCATGTGGGGTCTTAGTTCCAAAACCAGGGATCGAACCTCTGTCCCCCGCATTGGCAGGCAGACTCTTAACCACTGGACCATCAGGGAAGCCCAGATTGCTAAATTTAAAGGATACTTTCCTGCTTTCTAGAAAGAGAAGAATATCTCTGTTCAGGGACCTGGGAATGACTGGCAGTCTTGCTATCATTTTTAATGGCAGTCAGAGAGTCCCCTCATGAGGGGGATATTTCTGGCACTCAGAGGAATGTGTGGCATCAACAGCATTCAGATAGTGGGTGGTTCCAAGCCCTCTGCTTGGAACTTGTATACACCCCAGTTTGAGCAGTAACTGAGGATCAAAGAGGGTTGCTTTGCTCCCCTCTGTGATTCTAGAAGATACTTTGTTGCCAGACTTAGCCTCATCTGATGGGTGACTGGACATTTTCTTGGTGTTTGGCATGTATGGCTATCTTTGTGCTCTTTAGAGCTTGCTTCCTTACACACAGCTTAGCCACCTGCTTGCCAAGACTTTTCCTCCCATAAGCCAGGACACTCAAACTCTCCTTAGGTCTAAATTTTACTTCTATCCAAATGACTGTGTGCCTCTTCATTACCCTGGTCATGTAGCGATTGATGCTGGACAGGCAAAGATGGAAGGAAGACTCGATTTACTCCCTGTCTAATCTGGAGAAAATTTAAGGAGGACTCCTATTATTAGGTTTCCTCAAAGATACTGTTTATATTTTTAGGTAATTCATATTGGTTAGTGAAACTTCATTTGCCACACAATGTGCACAGAAGTCATCAGAAATGCAAACTACCACGAGGCATAAAACATCACAATTAGATGGCATTTTACCTGGGAAATTTCTTAACTTTCAAAGGAGAAGGCACATTTGGAAGTACAGTTTCCTCTAGTAAGATTTCCTAAATTTCTAGTTAAAAAAAAAATTCAAAACCCATCACTATGGTACACAATTCAAGGTAAACCACCCAGTTAAAACTCAACCTATTGCGAGAAACCTTTGGAAAATTTGGACTACTTGTGAAAGAGTTACAGGCATTCTTCCTATTCTGGGGGTCAGACCTCCACATGTCTACCCTGGGGTGTAAGTAAATGCTCTGAGTGCATTATGCAAGTGGGAAAGAACTGGGTTTTTTTTTTGTTTTTTGTTTTTGTTTCAACTCAGGGAGGGCAACAAAGCAATAGGAACGAGCAGAGGGCACCACCTCAGTGACAAATCACAGGAGGTGGCTCTCGAAAGGTTGTGAAAACTAGTTTCTCATTGCAGGAACTAAGCTGGGCCACTCCTTCACCCCCCTTCTCAAACACAAATATTTTCATATAATAAAAGCCTGTTTCCCTATGGCTATAACCCAGCCTCCCCTCCTCCGACACCACCATTTTAAGGGGGTTTGCTGCGCGGACGTTTCCAAAGCGCCTAGGCTTTAGCCTTCTCCTGCCCGCGGAAAGGTGAGGCGTCCCTTCGGGGGGCCCGCGACTCGCTCGGGGACAAGCAGCAGCCACCAGGCTCGCGGCCGGGCGGCCGGCGGCCCGAGCATGCGCCGAGAGTGCGTGCAGCTGGCCCTGGCCGCCGCCGCTGCCTCGTCCGGACTTGGCGTGGACTTGGGAGGGACAGCGGCGCTGGGAGGTGGCTTAGCAGAGACTTTCCAGCAACTGCTGCCCAGGACTTTTTCTTTTTTTCCTTTTTCCCAGGAGGCGGCGACGGCGGCGGGGGGGCGGGAGGAGAGGAAGAGAAGGAAGCGTCTCCAGTTTGAGCCAATGCAGCCCTGCGGCTGTCCGGGAGGAGCGCCCCTGCCCCGATGAGCCCCCGCCGCGCTTCCCTGACTGTGCCCCGGCGGGATCGGGGCGCGGAGCCCAGCGCGGACGGTGAGTGGCCGCGCGTCTCTCGTCCTTCCTGCCCGCTGTCCCGCCAGCCCGCCGGTTCTGTGTGCTAAACTTCTTAGAGGCTGGCTCCGGGGCTCCCCGCCGCCCGCGCTTCCCCGCGCGCCCTGCCGGGGGCGCGCGCCGGGGTGGCGGGGCCGCTGACCGCGCGGGGCTTTGTGCTCCTCGGGCGGCTGGGAGCGCGGGGTCGCGGCCGGGACCCGGGTCGGGGCCGGGGGAGGGGGGGACATGAATGACTAAGCCGGCGTCTGCACAGCTGCACCGGCCCGAATTCCCCTGCGCCCCTCCCCGCCCCCCGCCCCCCGCCCCCGGCTAATCCATCATTCCGGGGCCGAAACATCATTTCTCACATTCTCCCAGAGAAACCCTAGTCGCCGGGCGGAATCCCAGCTCAGCGCTGCGCCCCCTCCAGTGGCCCGTGTTCACACCGGAGCTGCGGGATGCGGAAGGGGCTGCGGAGGTGGGGGGCGCAGGAACTGTCCCAGTGAGAGGGACACTCGCACCTTCGGTGTGGCGGGCGGCGTCTGTGACATCTCCGGGGGGTGGTGTGCTTTCCAACCTTCGGGACCGCTCGGAGCAGAGCTGTCCCGGAGGAGCGGCGTGGATTGAGGGAGGTTTTAAAGAGCGTCTCATCAGAATGCAGAGGACACCGCCGCGTGTCTCCTGAGAACGCAAATCTACTGCGCGCATTCATTCATCTGGGGAGAAGATCTTTTCTCTTCCCAGCAGGTGTTATCTGAAGCCGCTTTGGAACTTTGGGAAGTTTAGGTTACTATTGTAACTTTAACAAGTGATTTGCGATGAAGCGATGTCTAGAATGAAATAGGCTTCGGAACAGACCCTGGACCGGGCTGAGGGCCGACCGAGGAGAGATGGGCGGGGGTTGGGAAGCGCGGTGGTCAGGAGTCTCCTGTTCTCCCCCGCCCTCTGCAGATCGCTGCTGTTTTGTCCGTGGGGGTAGGATGTGTTGAAAGGATGGGGCTTCTCTCTCTTGGGGCTCACGATGGCCAGAGAAGATTCTGTGAAGTGCTTGCGCTGCCTGCTCTACGCGCTCAATCTGCTCTTCTGGGTAAGTCAAGCAGCCCACTTGCACCAACAGGTGGGCACGGCTGGGCTCGGTTTCCTGCAGCCACCACATAAAGCGCCAAAGGGCATGGCTAAGCATTAATTAATTACATGCGATCACACCCTGTATTTTTCGCAGAAGTGTTTTTTGACCTTTAAATGCCTTTGATCTAGCTCAAGTTCCATTTGTAATTAGAAAAAAGAAATCCACCCCTGGATACTAGTGGCAGTAAAATTAGACTTGAAGTTAATCTAGGGATATAAATAAATGCACGTGCTTGTGCTTGTAGATAAGAAAATTTTGACATACTACTTAGGGAACTGCTTGTTTTCAGGAATTTCAGATAACCGTGCAAGCCATAAATTGTTTCCTTACGTCATCCTATAAAATTTGGTTGGGGCAAGAAGTCTTACTATTTTTTTCTGTTGTAGGAATTCATACCCAGATATCCTATTAAGAGACTGCCTAGAGTTTTCTAGGAGATTCCTTATAGTCTGAAAAGGTGGTTTTCATGTAACTATTTGTAAGTTGGCAAAGTTTTAAGGAATTTTGTGTATGCTTTTGGAAAATCTCATAACCATTTAAGGAAATAAAATACATAAAATTTAACAAGCTCATGGAAATCTTTATGCCTTGTGAGTTAGTGACTTTTTATGCTTTGCAGCCAGGCATAAATGTTCATTAAGTGTTATTAATAATCACATTGTTATTTACAGAACTTATGAGGAAACTATAAAAATTAAAAGTGTTGCTTTAAGAAGCTGTCATGCTTAAGCAGATACTTTTTTTTTGCCAAATTTTTATTCTATTAATAATTTATATTCGGAATGTTCTGTTAGAATTTTTAATGAGTAATGTATTTATTTGACTGACCTGCTGGCCTTGAGCAGCTTTTTTGCATTCAGTTACGACATATGGTCTCTAGAGGATGACAATTTTGGTTGAACTTATGGATGGTTCCATTTTAAGGTGACAAATTAAGCATTAATTCTGCAAGTAATCAGAAAGATATCAAAACAGGCAACATATTTTTCTCAACATGAAAATTAAAGCATATTTGCCACTTGGAAATGTAAAATACCTAACTGGTCTTATTGCAGTTTTTAATTATAAAAATGTACCTATTTAAATGTGTCATTAAATTATCTGCTTACCTATAAAGTATTAAGATCTCTCTAACATGGTGTCTCTAAAATGTGTAATAATGGTTACTCCTGTTTACTAGTTTTTCACTTTTCTAGTTTATGGTTTTTAATTACAGAATCATCACGTTTTTATAACTAAAAGGGAATTTAAAGATGATCTGGTTGAACTTCCTTACTTTGGGTATGAGAAAATTAAATGTAGGTTAGTGACTTGCCAAAGGTCAAATAGCCCATTGGTGACAGTGCCAGGAGCAGAACTTGGCTTTCTTGCCCCTAGAGAGGGCCTTTACTTGGATGATTACTGTGTTTGAACCTTGGAATTACTAGGGTGTTTTTTATTTGACAAAGAATAATTTTTTTGGAAATTTTCTCAATTTGTATCATGTGTATGTGTTGGGGAGATTCAAATCATTTAACAAAAATATTGCCCTTCTGAGTAATGAAACTTAAAACACCTATTCCTTAAACTCCTCCACAGCTCTTTGTGTCCCCAAAGAATGTAAAATGTTATTTCTTTGTTGTTAACTGGTACTTCAACACTCTTACTTTCCGTGTGCATGTTCTGATTTATTGAAATTGCTTCGCCCTTTCTCTAGCCCTTCTCTTCTCCAAATATCTTCTCTCTGCCACCAAAATAATATGTGTTAACTGCCTAGTGTGCATCCCTCTGTATTTTTCTTTTATTTCATGAGAAAATATCTCTTCTCAAACCTGTCCACATATACCCATTCAGGTACTTTCATCTATACATTTTTGCTATTTTTTATTAGGCTGTTTTTCTCATTTGGCTATAGTTGCAGGAGTGGGATTGCTATGTGAGAGGCTATGTAATGATGACAACTAAATAGCTGATATTTATGTAGTTCTTACTATGTTTGCCAGGCACATTTAGTGTCTCAGTTTCCTAGTCGGTGAAATGGAAATGGTAGTTCCGATATTTTAGAGTTGTTGGAAGGATTAGAGTTGATGTACGTAAAGTGCTTGGACGGTGCTACTTAATAAGATCCATCAATGTAGTAGCAGAAGCAATAACAGCTGTAGTACCAGCAGCTGTTACTATTACTACATAGTGATGCTCAGCAATAGTCTCCTGTAATAAGTAGATTACCAGTTGGGTCAAAGGAATCCTTGTAGTAGTAACAGTCATTGTAGTAGTAATAGTTAACTGTTGCTGTTATGATTACCACTAGTACTATTGCTACCACTCCTACATTCCTTTGATCTAGTAATCCTGTCCTGGGAATCCATCTCCTAGAAATAAAAGCACCAGTATACTCTGTTATAGGTACACAACCATTTGCTGCCATCTTGTTGGTATTACGACACCTTTTGACTTCCACCAATCTGAAAAGTTTAAAATGTTATTTCACTGTTACTTTATTTTTTTCCTCCCCCACTAGCAGTAAGCTTGAGCATCACTTTATATAAACAAATCATTTTATATAAACAGATTTTTGTATGTTTTCAGTAGAATTTTTCTCTTGAATTATACATATATATATAGTTCTTGTGTTCTCTTAAAGCACCTGCCTTTCTTATCTTGGTTAAGGTTTCTTTTTCCTTATGGACTTTAAGATTGTTTTGTACAATTAAAAATATCTGTTGGGAGTTTTGTTGGAGCTGTATGAAACATATACACTAACTTTGGGAACATTGATGTTATTCTTTGAATGGTAAAGCAACGTTTGCAGATTCTATAGTTCTTTATTGAATGAGAAGCAGTTTTCTTTCTTGTGCCAGGCACATTCCTGGACATCCTGAGACGAATTTCTCATCTAATTCTCATAATAGCCATGAAAAATGGGAGCGGAGGGAGTAGTAAAGAGATGTTACTCAGAGAAGTTCATTCACTTGTTAGTAAGTTAGCAGAACAGATTCAAAGTGTTGTGTTTTTTTTTTTTTTCCTCTAAGCGCAGCAGAAGTTTTACTGTTGGGATTGGTGGTGAATTTATTTGCAGCAGAGAAGTAAACATCTTCAGTAGGAAGGGATTAACTGTCCACCTGCTCATTCCAAGTCCTCCACAACAGTGCTTCTCAAACCTCCACGTGCCTACAGATCACCTGGGCATCTTATTAAAATGCAGATTCTGATTTGGTACCTCTGGGGTTGGGTCTGAGAGCCTGCATTCCTAAAAGCCCCTCTGTGATGCTATTGCCTCTGGTCTGAGTGCTGAACTTGGAGGAGCAAGGCTTTAATCCTTGCTAGTTCTTTTGGAATTAGAAGCAGAACAAACCAGTGTGGCATGAACTTGAGTTTAACATGAGGATAGCGAGAATGAGTGTTCTGGTGTCAGTTTTGTGGGATTGAGACAACTGTTCTTGTTACCTTTGGGATCAAAAACTGTATCCTTTTACTTTTCACCTAGCATTTCTTGTTTTGGTCGCCAAGTTGTGCCCGGCTCTTTGCGACCCTGTGGACTATAGCGCACCAGGCTCCTCTGTCCATTGGATCTCCCAGGCAAGAATACTGGAGTGGGTTGACATTTCCTTCTCCAGAGGATCTTCCCGACTCAGGCATCAAACCTGTGTTTCCTGCATTGGCAGGCAGATTCTTTACCTCTGAGCTACCAGGGAAGCATTAAACATAGACTAGCACTTAATGTAGACTTTTCTGCTGTTCAATTCTACTATACTGATATCTTCTCCCCTTCTCTACCAAACAAAAATTTTAAGGAAAGAAAAATAAATTTTATTTGGAAAAACACTGAGGACCTATACAATTTTGGTTTTGTGTTCTGGGAGTTGGATATCAAGCTGATTCTTTTCGGTAAAATTACATCTTGCATATTTAATTTTTAAGTGGGAGGTATAGATAGACTCTGGAGAAGGCAATGGCACCCCACTCCAGTACTCTTGCCTGGAAAATCCCATGGACAGAGGAGCCTGGTAGGCTGCAGTCCATGGGGTTGCTAAGAGTCGGGCTTGACTGAGCGACTTCACTCTCAATTTTCACTTTCATGCATTGGAGAAGGAAATGGCAACCCACTCCAGTATTCTTGCCTGGAGAATCCCAGGGACA